TGCTCCATCCCTTGTGTGTGCATGTAGGACTTGCCAGTGTATGTATGCGTATGTGTGTGTGCTGGTTTGCTGGTCTTGTTTGAGGCGAAGGTGTCTGTCAAGTTGGTAGAAGGAATAAACAAACCATTCCTTTTTTTTAATTGCTACAAAAGGGTGGCCTATTCGGCAACACGAGGACAGTGCTCACCTCGAGTGTCAATTATAGGAGCTTGGGTGTAAGTCCCATGCCGACCTGCTGAATATTCACCGGACCAGAAGTAGCAAAGTCAAGTTGGACCGAAGCCCAACTCTAATGGATAGCGCTATCAAGACTGTTGTGCGCTTATCCCACAACAGGCGTGCATGCCAGCGTGTCGATTTGTGCGTGTGTGCGGAAGAGGGCGGAAGAGAGGAAGAAGAAGAAGAAGAAGAAGAAGAAGAAGAAGAAGAAGAAGAAGAAGAAGAAGAAGAAGAAGAAGAAGAAGCAGAAAATGAAAAAGAGGACAGATGCAAAAAGGGGAGATGTGACGATGGTACAGAGAAAAAAGCATTTTTTTAAAGCGGTGAAGAGGCTCTTTCGCCCATCACTTCGCCCCAATCTACTGTATCCCTCTCTGGCTGTCAGAGTTGTTGGCCAGATGGAGTGACGGTGGCCTTGAGATAGACGATACCAGATAATTAGGCCGACGAGCCTCGTGGGCACGCCAGTTGGAGGGCTGAGTATGTGGGGAAAGTGGGCAAAAACACAACTTCATGTGGACCAAGCCGAAGGTAAGAGTGCAGTTGGCAGTTGGGCTGAGAGGGCGGAGAGACGGAGGGAAAGCAGCGTTTGGCGGGTGGGATTTGGAGAGCGGTAATGCAAACGCGAAAACTGATTTTCCCCCTTCTCGACTGTGCACAGACCGACAGAATTGTTCTTTATCGGCCTAACTGAAGCACCGGTCTCAATAAGTCATACATAAGTCTGAAAACGTGTGTGTATCCATATGTATATATATACATACATACATATGTACGTGTGTGTGTGTGCGAGAGTACATATGTACTTGAGTGGAACGTGCTTGTAGTTGACTCAATTCAGTCGGCAGGGAGGTTCTGACGAGGATGACGTGTAGAAGATAAGGGTCGCAGCATACAGGGGCTGGCCATTCGATGTGGAGCCTCGATTAATTCACTGCCATTGTGGGATTAGGCTTGTGGGCGAAAGCATAAGTGGGCCGGCAAGCCGTTTTGCTTTTAGGGTTCATCTGACATGACCGAATGACGGTGTGTTAGGTGGGACAAGTGTGTGCACAAGGTTGGAGCGAAAGATGCGCGATTGCAAAAATGTAGAGCATTGCATGATGCTACTTGGCTGGATGCATTCCAATTGGCTGATCGCTTTTTTTCCCTTTTAATTAGCTTCGAAATTACGCTTAATTTGCTTTTATTTATCGCGGAATGCATTATACTCATTTGCCGAAAATCGGCCTCAAGTCTCACCTCTTGTCGTTTATTCTCTTTCTCAACCTCGTTTTCTTGCCCAATATTTTTTAGTTTAGCACTCATTATTTCCCAATCTCGGTATATATTTGTAATTCTCTATCATTTGCATCGCTATGCTCGTTGCCATTTTCGTAGCCACTGGCGCCATAAGTCGTGGCAACTCACTCAGCACCGACGAAATCATCTTTTTCCCGTGGCCGAATTCATGTTTTCTTCGATTTTTCTCGTCATTTCCTCCTCCACGCTCCCGTGTTTTTTTTCCCATTTCAACCGACTCCGGGGGCAATGTTAAGTGTGCACCCAACTGATTCCAGCCTCTCGGTCACTTCTTATCTGCCAGTCTTATCCCGAGAATATGCCCAGTTTGGCCCCCATCTCCGTCTGCCGGCAAAATTGACGCCGATTAATCCCCTTGTCTGAGCAAGACGGCCCAACTTGTTCTCCTCTCCGGCTAACACAACCAAACTTAAGCTATGCGTGGACCACATACAAAATATGCACAATCTCCGTGTGTGTGTATGTCAGTGTGTGCATATATATATATATGTGTGTGTGTGTATGTGTGCATCGAGTAGGTGTTTGCCTTTAAGTTGCATGACTGCATAAATCTGGTGGCATAATTGTAGACCGAGTGTCAAGATAGCAGGATTTGCTATTTTCATGTGTACACTAAGTGCATTTGGACTCTAAAGATAAGGTGATAGTCGGAAAATCTTGGAGAGTGTATCTATGCCTCTGAATGGGACAAGAGGAGGAGTAAAAAAAAGACGATTAGCGTAGAATGTAAGGGACTACAAACAGGCATTTAGTTTGGAGTTTGCAGTTTGCAGTTGAGCTGACACTTCTTTGGTAAGCAGATCGTTTCTTCTCGCGTCACTGTGACTATGGCTCTTGTGATTGCCCATCCATCAATCCGTGCAATCGCATCTTCAAGGGTGAATTGGACGCGAATGATGAATAGTAGAAGGAAGAGCCTTTTGGAAATGTACCATATTTCTGATAGAGCGATCAAAAATGGCCGACGCAATGCGTTTTTGGTATTCAGACCAAATTTAGGAAGGCAAGTATGCATCTCAATTAGTCATTCTCGAAAAGCTTGGGCTACCAGAATCCTCTGCTGCTGCATAAATGCGTCCGCTGATATGATGTTACGACTGGGTATGGGCATCAAATGAGGAGACAAACATTCCGTTCGAAGGATGGCCG